TCCTTTGTGAAGTAATCTTCATATTACTGTATGTAGCTTTCAAGTAGAAAATAACATTTTATACGTAAAACAATACTTTGACTAAATAAAAATTAGTCTCTGAGTCTGAGCAAAGCACTGTCTAATCAGTGTTGACATAAAACTTACTAAGTGGGATTTTGGTGCATGCATGGTACAAGCAAGCTAACATTTGCTTAGCATATAATTCTTCTATCAGTTACCAGACATAAATTACCAGGGGGCTGGAATAATTTGTGTGTAAATATCCAGATTCCTCTGTCACACCATGCAGTGCTAATAACTCGCAGTTAGACTCGTCAGTATTTGAACTCTGAAAAATTGCTCCATCCTCGTGATTCTCCGTAGCATTTCTAATTGCATCTCTTACTTCAGTCTGAAAAAACAAGTGTTATACCGTAACAGGCACTCCTTAAAATCTTCATTGAATTGCAGGCATATACCATGAATTTAGAAATCAAATGCATACTTACTATTTCATCATAGACAGAAGCACTAGTCTGAGGCAAGCCGTAGACACCACTGAAGCATTCTTGTACATGAAATAAAGAAAGTTTTGTTTATTAAGGCATCTGTTTGCTTTTGCTTGGCTTTAATGCCAGGAGCTGGCTCACAGTATCAAGATGATTTTGATGTCACCGCAGCATTACAGTCTTACAATATTTAGTATTCTCTTGTAGCAGACTTTGGAAATACAGGCTTCCATGTGTGTTCGATGCCTCCAAAAGGTTTATCGTGACCGTCTGACGAAGGTCATTTAGCAATGACAGTACGTTAGCGAGGCTGATGTGTATGTCAGCTTCCACTGAAAGCTGTACTGCTATCATACAAAGGACAGCTGGGAGACTTAATGCATAATAAAGAACAAGGGAAAATCAAAAGTAAGCCTGAACTCTGTGTCTGAAGCAACAAGAACACACATGAACAAACACTGATCTGTTTCACAACTTTCTCCTTTCAGACTTTCTTAGCTCTATGACCATTATCAGAAGGGGCTCATGCTGCAACTTCCCAAATCCAGAAATTATTTTATTCAGACATTCATACCCTTTTCTAACCCTGTAAGAGGAGTTAAAATAAAGTAATAAAACAAACAAACAAACAAAGAAATAATCCCACTCAGAGCTGTGGCACTTACCATTAAAGCAATCTGGCAAGTTTTTTGACTGCATAGGACTGTTTTGGATTCCTTTAAACTGATCATAATAAATACAGTTATTCTCATCTTCAGCTGGAGGTATTAATGATCTGAACGCCTGAAGAAAAGAATGTTTTATAACTACTTTATATATTACACATCTCCTTTAAAAAAAAACCAAAAACACAGAGATAAACAGAAACTGATTTATAGTGATCTTCAAGTTGAAAATTATTTGTATTTCTAAATTATAATTAAGCACATAAATGCTGCAGAATAACCAGCATTACCAGATACTATTGACAAGTGTCTTTTACTTCTCCTTCTGTTCAGTGTGCAGTTATGTTTTAGATCTAACACTTTGGTAACTATAAGAGCATCATATCTAACACCTACATTTCAATTTTCCATGATAAAGTAAATGAACAGAAATGAAACAAATAGAAACCAACTATTATGTAGTTTGAAGTTAGAACTGAGATTGTTTGAACCGGACAAATTTCTTTCCATCTCTGTTTCCTGCTGCCTCTGCTTAACACTGACAGTAGTTCAGGGGGATAAACAAGCAGTATAGAAACAGCCAACTGGCTTTAATTCAGTAAAATTAGTGTTCATAACATGATTATAATTTCGTTCTAATAATTTCAGGGAACATAGCAGATGAAGGAAACTGATTCAGTGTGGTAAGCTGTAAGGATAACAGGAAAAGAGGTGGTTGAGAGATTCCAAATTTCATTTTTAGACCATTGTGTAGAAGAAGTGAGCCAAACACATTTTCTTTACCCCCAGCTTGACTTTGAAGAAAGGAATTATTACACCCCAATCATATATGTTCTTGAGAGATTTGAAACTTACTAATAGTTCCAAAGAATGAAGAGTTTGATTATTAAAGAACTACTGATAATATTGGACGCGCATTTAAAGAATCTCTGAAGCTAGAGATCTCTGTAAATCTTAACCTGAATTCAGAAAGCAAGCTAAAACACATAAGGTTAATGCCAAGGAAGACTTCAAACATTTTCAGATGAAATGGCACCAGGAAATGCTCTACAGCTGCCACCTGATTTTCAGTCTGGCACCTTGGTGGAATATGGCAAGAAACAAGCATTGGACCCATTCTCAACCAAGTGATTTTTGTTGATTTTTGGTGAGTTTTAATGCCTTTTTGAATTTCTGAACCTTAAAGTAGCAACGTTTGTTAAAATATTTACATTGGAAAGAAACTGGTGCACTTAGTTATTTCAAAATAGCTTCCCAGAGGACACAGTATTCCCCCAGAAGTTGCCTACAGAGCACAAGCTGAATTAGGTGGTTTCCTTAGGTACAAGCACATCTAAGTATTCTAAATATGAATAGTTCGCATTAAGCAGATGGATTTGATCCCCTGACCATCACTGAAAGTTTAATGCTGCACGTCTTTATAGGTAGTAATTAATTAATAGATGATGTTACCTTCAAAGCACGCCACTTACAAAACTACTTCCTCTACAGATATTTAACAACACAGGCCACAGTTTACCATTGCAAATAAATCAATTGCAAACACATTCAGACTACACTAAGATGACAAGCATGTCAGCTGCACAACTAAAGAACAAAAGTTAACGTAATGGAGAAGAGTCTCTGGGGAGACCTCACTGTGGCTTTACAACATTTGAAGGGAGCATAAAAACAAGAGCGTGGAATGGTTTAAAATTAAGACAGGGAAGATTTAGGTTAGATATTAGGAGGAAGTTTTTCACTCAGAGGGTGGTGATGCACTGGAACAGGTTGCCCAAGGAGGCTGTGGATGCCCCATCCCTGGAGGCATTCAAGGCCAGGCTGGATGTGGCTCTGGGCAGCCTGGTCTGCTGGTTGGTGATCCTGCACATAGCAGAGGGGGTTGGAACTAGATGATCACTGTGGCCTTTTTCAACACAGGCCATTCTATGATACTATGTTTCTACTTTGTCCAACAATCAGATGGTTGCTAATATCAACAGTAATAGATAAAACTGAAGCAGGTACTGCATGGTAACTTTCTTTCTTAATAAGCAAAATACCCAGCCATTTAAAAATAGTGCTCCCAAACACAGGCAAGAAAGAACAGCAAACAGAACTGTACGTTCACTGCATGTTATTTATAGCACAAGGAAACTAATTTGATTTCTGTGTGCGCTACTAAGTTCATTCTAGTATAAGATTTATGACATTACTTCAAAGATTACATGGATCCCATCTCAAGTTTTAATGTGGTGATCTTCCACCTATAAATTACAAAGAAGAACACACGAAAATACTTATTTTATGCATCTTACGGGTACGGCTCCAACATTTTGATTGACTGCTCCTTCTGAAGAGAAAACACTTGAAGTTGGAACACTGCAATTTTTATGCTGTGTCACCACAGAAGAAAGGAAATGGTCACCATCTGAAGGCAGGTAAGGTGAATGCGTATAATCAGCTTCTTCTGGAAGATTTAATGCTTTGTATTTTTCAAGATCTTCATTGTCACAGCTATTGTTTCCATGTGGATATATTTCAACTGCTATTGTATTCTGATTTTCAGTGGAAAGAGGATTCTCAAAGTGATCCAACAAAGACTCTTCCACATTTATAGCGTATAACTGATTGCCTTGACTGGATGGCAATCCTTCTTCAACAGGATTATTAATTACTGTGGTTTCCAAACTGAAGTTTTCAGAACTATCAAGAACATTCTGATGTAATATTTCAGTTAGAAATCCATCATCTGTAGCTGATCTTATGTCAAACAATATTTGATTCTCCATGGTCACAGGCAGACAGTCAGGTGCGTCTTATTTACTTGAAGATCATTAATTTTTCTATTCCACTATTCTTCCAGATAATTTAGATATCCTAAAAGGGAATGAAATAGTCTTGACCAAATAAGTATGTGCAGTACTGAAGATTAACTCAATTAACACGAAACTGAAGAATACAACACTGAAGCAGCTGTTTTGGTCCTGAAAAGCCACCAAGCCAACACAAACAGATGCTTTTAGCATAAGAACAACCTTGCAACTGTTTGTGTTGCAGCATTCATGGCATTCAGGCTTCAAATAGAATTTAGCTGCTTGGTTTTAGCACTCAAAAAGAGAAAGAAAAATCTGACACAGCATAGAGCTTGGAGAGCAGCAGTCCCATTGTCAGTCTCGTATAACTGAGCACTGTAAGCTCAGATCACCTATGCTCCCCACGTCACCACTGTCAGGTGGAGACAAGGCACCCCTCTGCCCTCCGTGCTCCACAGCGCCTGCAAGACACAGCCCAGCCCCACCTGCTCTGCTATCACTGCAACTCCTGGATGTGGGCTAGGCTAACAACAGGATGCTGAGGCTCACGACACGAAACCAGCCCTCTTCCTTCACTCTACCCCCCTCTCCAGCTCCACCCTGCGCTCTGTGAGAAGGCGAGGAACCGCCGCGTGCCCGACCGTTACAGGGCGCCGCGCGTGCGCGGTAACGGTCGAGCCGCGCGCGCGCTCGGCTCGCGCCGCGGGGACGGCGGCGCGCTCCTGACTGAGGAGCCACGTACCCACACAGTATGGAGAGGAGCCACGTGCTCCATAGCTGTCAAGTTCAGACCAGGACCGATTGCTAGCAGGCAGTCTCACTGAAACTTTCTACCAGCTATCCCACCTCGAGTTGTTTCTATTAAACCTGGAAAAATTGCTCATTAGCACGTTCTCTGTTAACTAGCAAAGTGTCTACATTTAAAACACTTCTTAAATAAGCTGAGGAGCGTCCTGCTACAGCTCTGAATTGGATTTAACTACAATGATTTCGCAAGCCCAGTAAAGCAAGGGGGCCTGGAAAGAAAATACAGAAGACAGGAAACATTCTACTTAGTAGTGATAATTGTGAAACTTTATTTTTTGAAGTCACTGAAGAGGGTAGAACATTGGGACAGACTATTGAATGTAAATAACCAACCACAGGAGTAAGTGAACAAGATAAAAAACAGCTGAAAGTAATACATTTTATACAAGGAAGCAATTGGTACAAAGGCTGAATTAGAACCATGATTTTCAAGGTCAGGCTTGCACACCTCCATGATTCTGTAGAAGCCCAACCCTTAAGAGTACTCAGTTTGGAATAACCTTAGTCCTGGACAATGGCAGCCTCTAGATGCACCAAATCTCAGCTATTCCATCATATTAAAGAGCTGAAATAATGAATTCTGCAAATTCATGTTTAAAGGATTCCATCAATTCCAAAAAACTGGTATTTAACCAACAGGTTAATTTATTATTATCCATACCTAGCCATCCCTCACTTAGAGCTCTTTTCACTAACTGAGAGCAGGTGATTCAAGGTTTAGTTAAGGATGAACAGCTGTTCTAAAATACAGACATTAAAGTACACTGTGCTAGAAAGTTCATTCAATTCTAAGTATTTTCCATTACATTCCTATGGCTTTTGAGCAAAAAAGCAAGTAGTTTTACTGTATGTACACCATATTGAACATCAAGTTTTAAATTATTTATTAACAGCCTACATTCACTGTGGATTTCTAAGATTTACATCCAGAAAGCATATTTTATTTACACGCCGTTGACATCTTCAAGAATGAAATAAGATCCTACCTGTTTAGGAATTACGATCTAACTCAAATTCAAAAAGAAAAAAGAAAGAAGATACAATTAACAGCACTCCTTTAAACATTTACAATAAAAAACAACTTTCTGTGCCAATTGTACTTTAAGAATGTAAAATTGCATTGATAACTGCACTAAATACAATTAGACATGAAACATTTAAAACCTGAGAGTCAAATCTAAACTTTTTTTTTTTTTTTTTTTTTTTTGGAAAATCCTAGAAGCCCTGTGTTAATTTAAGCACAGACTGGTTAGTGGTCAATAAAAAAAAAACAGTGCATTATTTCTGCAGCTCCAGAAAAACACATCGCTATAACATTGATGCAGTAATTTGGTAAATGCTTGCTGCAGTAAGGCTTATTTTAAAGTGTCCTTTCCCACAAACTTCATCCAATCAAATAATGGGCATCTTTGGCCAATTCCTATGGGGGAACTTGTATTTATGTAAGCATGTATTTGCTTATGTATGCGTTTAGGACTTTTGCTGAGGTTTTCCACCTCAAACATACACATAACAGGTGTTTCAACAGCTAGATCAGAGTGAAAAACAAAACAAAACAAAACACATGTAGAGGCATATCAAGTTAGAAATACTGGCCAGAAAAAGAAATCCAAAAAACCTAATGAGAAGTTTCACAGCACCCCCAGAGAGCTTTCAAAATGAGCACAGCTCTGGAGCAACATTACTAAATATTTTGTACCTTTTACTCCCAGAAAAATAAATTTGCCCTCATAGGTGCACTGTATCGTGTGATCTAAAAAAGTAATGACACCGATAAAAGTTTGAGGAAGAGTAGCATAGCACACCAAGTTACTTCAGTTTTGTAGCAATCATTTTACTTCTGCACTTACAAATACGCCCCTTTTTCAGTGAAACTGTCTGCCCTATTCCCACCCCCATTTTTGTTGCGTGTTTCAGAAACTGCCTGACACAAAGGGCCACGCAGAAGAGGTTTGAGAAGGCCATAATTTCCCCATTCTGGAGCTATTTTCCATTGCCTTCACAGCCTGTTTCATGCAGAGAGCTGACCGTGCAATTCTGGTCCTTTCAGGCTGAAACCTAGCAAACTGCAATTGCTCAGCCTCTACATGCAGCACTGATTCATAGATTATCTAACAGGTCTGAGTTTAAATATATTTACATTCCCTAGGACCCAGAAACTCTTCTCTCAGCGAATCACTAATACCACTCAGCTAAATGGGATCATGAGTATCCACAGCTCTGAAAAGATACTCCTGCACTTTAGAGAATGGTCTTTGCCATGTAAGAGGAGATCATCCCATCAGAGCTTTGAACCTAGCTGCACCATACACAAGCAAATTCAATTCTACTTATATCATAGCCCCCTAATTTATAATTTCAGAACTAGATCTGCATTGCTATTTCCCCTCCACAAAAATAATGTAAAACCAACTCCCAGCATAAGCTTTTCTCCCGTGTTCAGCGTATTTCTTTTACTAAGGCACTGGCACAAACAAGCACACAGGTTCATTTATATGGATATAAAATCAATCATGTGGCAAACATGCTTATAAGTAACAAGGAAAGTTTGATACCTGCTAATTTGCATATTTTACTACTTCGCTGTAGCACATAGTTCTTCCCAAAAAGAAACACACCAGTTGGATGTGTTGCACTAGGTTCTGATTTTGTTTGGTTTTTTTTTTTTCTAATCTCATGAAGAAATTACCTTTAAAGATGTTAATGAAGGTAAACAGCCAGAAGAGTTGTCATTTGTTGAAATAAAGCAGCAGATACTCTGAAGAACATCCTGCTATCAATGCATACCGAATCAAATCTTTTAAAGGCTTTGAGTTTAAGACTTGATATGTTTTATCGCTTCCATTCTGGAACACAAGTGGACTCAAATAATTTTAAGTACAAGAAAAAAAATGAGAAAAAAACTGAGTTAGAATATACATGCCTTCGTGCAATAGTGGTACACTTCATCCCTAGAAATGTATAAAATTGCAAAAGTTGCCCTTTGTGGAACTAAATGCTTCCAAACTACTAAAAAAAAATATTCATGAAACATTCAAACCATGGCTATAGTTTTCATAGAAGATCAACTCGATGTGACTCAGTTTCTTCACCAGCTATTGTTTTTGCAAACCTTGCTTTCATTCGCTGTTCAGAAGAGTTTCCATCCCAACGATGGGAGTTTGCTTGGTGGCAATAACCCAAATCATTTGGTACAGTTTTTAGGAGGTTGAAACAAACCCATGATGTCAACCATTGCTTTTTGGATGTTCTTTCCAAAGCGATGAGAATCCTTAATAAATAAATAAAAATACAATGAGATACAATGAGCTGTGCTCTCTGGTAAAGTTATTTTATAAGCAAAAGAAAGAATTTCAATATTTTGTGACTTTGGAACACAGGCTTAGATCACATATGTTACCATAGAACAGGTAATTTAAACTGCAAAAATTTGAATGCTATGTAAGTTAATCCAGGTTTATGTTATTATTGACTGGTAAATTCTACATTATGCTATTACGTTTTTTTACATACAGAACTGAGAATTTAGCTTTGAAATCAAATGCATCTATTACTTAAAATAATAATAATAAAAAAAAAACCCCTAAAACGTCTAGTTCATACAAGATGATATTATCTAAGCCATTTCTCACAACACAAAAGAATGCCCAGAAAGTATAAAACAACCTAAAAATACTGAAAAAGGAAAAAAAAAAAAAAAAAAAAGAAAAAGAAATTGCATTTGAGTTCCTGTTGGAATCCTGAATCCATTGGAAGAACAACATGAAGAACAGGAAATGAAAATCACAGTTACTTAAACATTAAGAAACTATTCCAAGAGATGAATGGCACAGGGAAGAAAAAGATTACGAATATAAATCATTAGCTACATTATAAAACCTACTACAGGAAGCTCTAATAATATCAAGGACAAGAACATAAAGTGTTGCCTTCTCTCTGTGGACTTTTGCCTTGACTGATAAGAGTACAGGGAAACTTAATGTATAAATTAAATGGCATCTGAAGAACAGTTTGAACCACACATGAACAGAGTCATATTTTCTAATATGTAATGATTAACCAGAGGCACCAAGATCTATCAGACAAGTTAAGGTCTATGTACTCCTGCCAAAACCGAGTATGCTGGCAAGTCATAAAACAAAGGGGAAGGACAAACTGAAGCTCACTCAATGCTGATCTCTGCAACAGAAGTGATGGATGACATCACTACATCTCAATAGATGGGTGCTATTCCGATAAATTATGATACTTAAGTTTCCCAAGCACAGATTAAAATTTATCCATCAACTTCCGTCAGAACTATTTAGGCTAAGGAGATTCAAAGAATAAAGAACACACCACTGAATTATCTTTACCACTGCAGCCAGAGGCAAATCAAAGTTAAACTGCAATAACAAAAGCCAGGAGACACCTATCTTACTGCTTACGGGACAGATAGGAGTCATTTCAGAGGAATTCTGGAGAACTACACGTGCACAACCATCACCTTAGGCCTTTTTTATTTTTTACATCTGACAGAAAGGGGAAGTATTGTACCGTTCCCTTGGTTCATCAAGACACTGAATTTATAGAAGCTGAGAAAAGCGTTAATATACAGCATATGACAAAGAAAGAAGCAGAGTATAACTGTATGTTGCAAGTCCTAACGTTTTTAGTAGACAGTGAGTAGAAGAGTTTTACAAGCAGATATCAGAGCAGGAAAGGATTGTCCCTTACCGTTTCAGAACAAGAGAATTTGCTGGAGACATGGAAATGGATGGAGTTTTCATCTAAGATTATGTAAGAAACACCATAACCATCATCAGCCACCTAAGGGAAGAAAAATGACAAGTCTTGAACTTACTTTTCCTTCACTTTCTACAACAGTCCCTGAACTTTCCAAACCGATCAAGCAACGGCCACAAAACCAGCTTTCAGCTTGACAAGCCAGCCAAAATACACAATAATTATTCTGATTTCTGAGTGCCGAAGAGTAGTCCTGTGATCCCCTCACCATGCTTTTAATAGAAATGCTTTTTGAAACAGACGAATCCAGTCTATCACATGGAGAAGCCTGCTTAACAGAGTTAACATGAATATTACCAATTTCTATATTCAAATCTTGGTGAAATATTATAGCAAGTCAGAAGCTCATTTACAACTCTAACAGTACACTAGCTCCACAAAACTGTTTTATTCTTATCCTAGCCACTACTCATATTTAGGAAGGCAAGCAGACAATCTGATTAACTTAATTCAGAGGAAAACGTGAACAATTATTTTTTTTAAATTAATTAGAAATTATAAATAAAAAAAACCTCATAACAGTGAAATACTTTCCACAAATCACAATCTTAAAATCTAGTGTAAGTAGTAAACTGCTTGTCACTTTAATAATAGTTTGACATACTAAATCTGCAGGCATAGATACTATGACAGAAGCCTCCAGTTTATCAGCCCTCCTGTGGAGCCTTATGCCACATTTGATAACTGCATATTTCCTTAAGGATGATCCATTTTTTAGTGGGACAAGGGAAAAAGGTGATGTTGGTTTTTCTGAGCACATTCACATAATTAGAAAACTTTAAACACACTTTTGAAGTGTATATTGCACTTCTAATGTGCAACATGAGGGGACTACGGGTCTGAAACAAAACTGTTCTTAAAAGGGATATTTGTATTTAGTAAACATACAGGTCCAAATCCACCACCAGAAGATAACATCTCAGGGTTCTTCTTCAGATCAATATGTTGCTGTGGTGTCTGACTCGTTGATAGCCTCCAAGGCTCTGACAAAACCTTTATTAGAGGTTAAAAATAAAAAAAAAAGATAAAATCAAGTACATCATATTGTTTAGGAACAAGCAACTCTCTCAAGAAACAATAAAAATAACTTTAAAAATATTCAATAAAGCAATATTAAAAGGTAACTCTAGTTCACATGTCAATGGAATGAATAATTGAGTGTTAAAAGAAACAACTTGTCCTAACACGTAAACCATCAACATATTGGATCTTGATGTTCATTTCTAAAAAGTAATAAAATTTCTTAAGAGTACAAATGTTATTTCAAAACTGATGAAACTGATCTATAGCCTGGTAAACTCTGCATAACAGACCTTGTTAACAAGATCAGCAGTGGTGGTACTCAAATCCCAGGTAAATACTACAGAAAGTAGTTCTTAAAAGTTTGTAAAGTCTCCAACAATACAGAGGTTTCTTGGAAAGCTGCAGAAGCTCTACAAGGTTGTTTGATTCTTAACTTAAAGCAGGAGCATTCCAACTTTATTTCAGAAATTCCAATTTTAAAATATGGCTTGATAAAGCATTTGTCACTGCAGTTAACTGTAACAAAAATTACACTATAAGGCTCCATTAGTTCATGTCAATGTACAACAAAGTAATTTTGTTACAGTTCCAAAAGAATATTCTTGAGAGAAAGCGCATGGCTGCCTGTGGTGAATATGTGCTAAGAGCCAGTATTTTATTGTAACACTGATTATATCTTTCTTGCAAACCTTAACATGGTATTACTGAAAGTCTATTAGTAAATGTATGTATATTAAAAAAAATGAAAACAAGCTGTAAGATGTTAAGCCACGCTATCTACACTCTTATCTTCTTTCTAAGGAAAACTGGAGTTCTATTAATATGTAACCAGATACCAGAAAACACTAAATAAATAAATAAATGGTTATTTACTGCAACCAATCAATGAAGATAACTTACTTCCTTGAGGAAAGGAGAATCTACAGAAAGGTACTTGGAAACAACATACAGGCAGAACAGATGGCGGTCAATGCCTGCACCAGTCATGGCAAGACGATATAAGTGCTGGTGTTTGGTAGCCGCAAGCCGGAATAACTTCAGCTTATTTTCATTCTAACAATGAAAGAAAGATGGAAAAAAATTCCATTAAGTGAATCTATTTGGTTTCTTAGAAAGCTACAGAAAATCAAATTTCAATGCGGTTTAAGAAAGGCAGGAATTGCAAGAGCCATTTTAGATGACAGCGTATGAGTGTAACACAAGGGCTGAAAGAAAATTTGTCTCAGACTCACTTTAAGATAGCTCCTTTGCTAAGATCTTATAATATCAAATGCAACACTGAAAATATGGTAACCTGTCACTTAGGTCCAGCATCGCTGTATTTTATGCCACTTATTCAGGACGCTGTTAACAGACTATTAGTCTCCAAGATGAAAGCTTCTAAATCACTGGTAGTCATGCTAAGCATGCCTACTATTGGCACTCTGGAATAAAGCTTTGTGGATAGTCCATGGAGGACAAATTCTTGGAGGGCAAAAACACACAGATAAGAAGCAAGCAGTAAAAGCAAGTATTAAGAAGGACTGAATTGAGATTTGAGTATACTAGCAAAGGTATCTACCGACTTAGCTTTCCAGACCATGCGAATAAGCTATGTGTCAAAAATGCAGAAACAGTACATTCAGGGGGATGGTTGTGTTAGAAAGTATCCACATTTCTATAAAGTGAACAGTTCCATAAGGGCAGGTCAGAATCCTCGTTAAATACCATGTTAAAACTAAAATGTGTCCATCAAAAGTTTTATTCTTAGATATTTCTAGAGCCTCGCTGAATGTTAAAATTAAGCACCTTCTGTTAAACCAAACCTATCAACTCTACAGCAGCAATTCAAGAGACTCTCATCCCAATAAAGTTCTTTAATGGCAATTGAGAGTTTGGCATGACATTCCTTGCTTCACAAATAAGAAATTCACAAATATTATCAGTTTTCTGGAGTTTAAGATCCATAAAGTTGGCATATTTGTTAATTAGTGACTCGTTATTCTCCTTTGGTGTAGTCTTTAATTTCTGCCATACTGACAGAGGATGAAGACAGCTATCTGCTGCTACACTTCCATTCTCAAAACAAGGCATCACTCTTTCTTTAAATGTATATATACATTTATAATATATACATTCTGTACATATACAGAAATTTACATGAATAAAAAGTGCTAGCTGCGTACTTTGTGGATTGTATTAGAAATCAACAGAGTCAACTTACACTTTCACTTGGATCTTCCATGGTTCGAACAAAATTACACGACTCAATGGTGCACGAACGGACAGTTTCAGTTCTCCCTTCTCTGAATAAGCGTGTCATAGAGGCTTCGTATGTCAAAGAAAATTTCCCCATGTCCTTGAAAGTTGGAAAAAAAAAAGTCTTAGTGGCTTAGACAGACTTAGCCTCTCTTAATTGATCGTAACATTCAAGGTAAGTACATACGATGCAAATCACTCCACAAGTTAAGCAAGTTGTTAGTAGTCTACCATTAGCACCCTTACAGAAAAAAGTAGTAATGGGATTTGACCAATGCTTTTACAGTAAAGACTACACATTTTATATCCACTTCTTTGGCTCGTCACAAAAAGAACTAATTCAAAAACTATCAAAAGCTTATTAGAAAGTTCAGTGGCTACTTTACACAGCTGTGTTAACAGCTGTAGTTAAGTAAGCTACAATATTTTCAATTCAAAGTTTAACAGCATAGATTTGTATGGCAGCATGGGGATTAAAAAAAAAAAAAGTGAAAGAACATGATCTGAGAAAGTGAAAACTGAAAACGATCTGCAAAATCCAAAACCCACAGATTCTGAAGTTTTTATATTGTAAAAGCTTATCTAGAACATGGCACCAATTCTTTCAGGTCACAAAAGTTTGTTCAGCTTCAAATTAAGAGATTGGGTGGTTACTGAAAATACAGAAATAAAAGGTGGTTGGGATGGTGCGTGAAAGTCAAGTTATTTGCCATGTAGCTGCCCTAAGGAATGGTAACAAAGATAATAAGTAGTAATAGCAGCAAGGGAATCTCTGTGCTTTGACATTCAATTTACAATTGCACTTAAAAAAGCAACAAAAGACAAATTCGGAGAGCTAATACCAATAAATATTGAGCAATGACAGCCAGAATGCAAAACCTGTACATTTTGCTATGTGGGCATCCTATGAAAATGTGCAGGGATTTTTTTTCCCTGGGTGGAAAGGTGAGCTTTTTAGGGTGAGCTAAAAAGAAAAAGCCAACAGGCAGGCACACCTATTAATAATGGGAATGATATGTTCATTACTACAGAATTAAGGGAGACTCCAAACTAACAGGTAAGTTTAATACTATGTGGGTTTGAACAGCAACAACAAATTCACCTACCAAAGTTTTCATATCTGAAGATACCTAGGGCTAAAACAACTAAGCAGAAGAGAAAAATCTGCATTAGCATCAATAAATCAACCTTTGGACAATGAGTTTCCGACTGGTAATCTGTTCAGCATTTGTACTAACTTCCACTGAATGTCTTTAATTACACAAGCAGTGCGAAGTTACGTGAAAGCACAGCGTACTTCACACCATCACACATTCTAATTGCAAGTACGGAAACACAGAATCTTATTAAATTGCCCACAGCATAAGTCAAAGTCTGTTCTTCTTACTCGGTAGTGAGCAAGCTGCAGGGCAAGCTGAATGAAGGCATCAGGGCTGGTTTTTGCTTTCTTTATTAGCCCCTTCCCAAAAACATCAAAGTAAAATGAACAGAAGTCCACATCATCTGCCAGAGCTCTAGCGGTGCTCAGAGACTTCTCGATCACATCTTGGCACTGAAATACACAAGCAAATGACTTATCTATACATATACATATACACACATACACAAGTATAAGCATTTGAAGGCATTCAAAAGAAATAAAAGTGCACGCATGTTTAACTAATATAAAATAAATGTAAAATTATAAAATTTTAAAAAATTATTACATATTATAAATATATAATATTATAAAATAACCATAAATTATAAGCCATTAACATCATTGTGTAAATATTCTTCCTTTGGAGAAAAAGAAGATATATTTGTGTGAAAGTTAAGATTCAAACAGCTTTAAAAAAAGTTTTAAGCCAATACACATTTGGAGACCAAAAATGTTCTTCCAACAAAAACCATAAGACTGTTCAGATCACTAGAACATTAAGTGTACCACCAGCCACAGAATTCTGAATACAGCTAATCTCAAGGAAATATTACGCAGGCATAATAACAACACAGCAGCAACTCAAACTTCACTGCAGTACTGCTCCTGTTTACAATGGATGGCCATTGATTTTTGACAAGCTGCTAAGCTAAGAAAATTTCTAGAAAAAAGCTGCTATTTCCTGAGCAGAATTTTTAAAAAGCAGTGTTAAAAACACTGCCATCCTTGTAAGTACACTGGGTAATGCGCACATGCAAAATACATATTTTACAGGGCTCAAAGCAATTAACTACATGTAAGGTTTTCAGTAATTAATTACATGATTTGACTGCTTAAGAAAAGCTGAGCTCCTTTCCCCTTACCTCTTCTGGAATTTCCCACTGCAGTTTGGTAGGGATAGGAATATTTTGATTGGTTTCTCCTTTGCAGTGTCCATCCTCAGAGTAGCCCAGTTCAAGATACTCAGTTGCCATTATGTTCTGTGAAGAAAGATACCTTTTCAGAATTGCAAACACATTATATCCTAATTCCACAACAATAAGTAATTTGCAAAAACAGTGATTAAGTCCCAACATTTTCAGGATAACACATTTTTAACACACAGTGAAATACAACCTATTCTCAAATACTGCCTATTACTTCAAGGCATTTTTACTTCTAAGCAGAAAAATACCAGGTATACATAAAATACCGTACTACAGTGGTGCAAAATGCTTTAATTAAACCTCCTCCAAAAAAGGCTTTCAATCTTTGTTCAACTTTGGTTCTAAAGAATTTCTGTAAGTCTGTTATCTGACAAAACCAGTTCACCAAAAACAGTTTATTGCAGATTGTGAATTTCCAAAAAATTAATCAGAAATCTTTAATTCTTTTCAAGATTCACAAGCTGCTCAATGTTTCAGTACATTTTATGTGCACACTGGGTTTCTTGGAGTAGTTTTCAAGATGGATGATGCAGGTTGAATGACAAACAAAGACTTTGCCTTACAGGATTTCGAGTGAAATATTGTGGGTTTTTGTGTGTTTTTTTTACCTTGAGGTTATCAATCTATTCAACATGGAAAGAAAAAGTTTGATAAAAATCTGTTACATGTCTGTACTTATTTCTAATCTCTTGCTGGTATGGATAGAACACACCAACTACAAAACGTCCAGAATTTCTTAGGAAATTGAATTCTATTTTATTTTGGGCTTCCTGATTCTCAGCAGAAAAGGAACCAACTAACAGTAAGTACAAAGAATGAACTGAGCACACTGAGCGATTCTCTGAAGTAGAACAAAGTAATACTTTTCCACTGGCCAGAACAGCCAGTCTGAACTAGACTGTTCAATCAACCTTGAATGAGTTTTGACTTTCTCCCATTTAGAGAATGCAGTTAGGACTTTCTCTTCTTATACAAATGGATACTCTTAGATAATAAAATCAGGACATGACTTGGGGCGTCAGTTGGACCTGGGTTCCACTTGCACAGATTCATAATTAAATCAGAATTAGCTAATGTTTCTGAAATACTTTTGAGTGATGAAGTCGTAACTGTTTATAGGTCTAAACATCAAAGAGAAAAAATATTCAGATAGGATTTCAAGCAATAAACTATCTCCATGATGAACAAATTCGACAAAAAGCCCATTTATACCATTCATAGCAGCAAAACAAGAGCTAATTTAAATAACATCAATCTAGAACGTAAAAATAGCTTAAGGGAAATAAATGTGACAGAGTATAACTTCTAAGTTTTAACAATAAACATGGGATGTTACAGCACAGGGAAGCCTGGGTGCTTCAGCAGCATGTGCATATGCAAAATGAAGTGCTATGTCAAACAGGCAATAGTTTACTGATTTAGAATATTAAAAACAAGCTAGATAGGGTGACATATCACTTTCCTATAAACACGTTTGTTGTCATTAAATTTTAATAAAGGCCTTTAAGGCAATGCAACTTGTTTTTTAGCTAGTTTTGCTTGTTTGTTTGTTTTGAATTCTGCTGACAACACAGAAGACAAAAGTGATCCAAAATCACTCATCAGCAACATAGTTGCAAGAGACTGGAAAGGAATCTGATGTTATTCAGAGGTGTTGCATGAGCCACCTAACATTATATTCTACATTAACCTTTTGTATGTAACACTTACCTCCCACAGGTGTCCAACAATAGGAGCATCTGCCCAGGAGTGCTCAGCATTCAGGCCCATTTTGCCATTTTTGAATACTACAAGAGTAAATGTTTTATCAAACCACCTACAAAAAGATTAAATTTACTTATGAATTCTTATGTTTCAGAAACATTTTTATACTCTAACTTCGTGTCTGTGAAAAAGATTTGAAGACAATGCTGGTTTTTTTTTTTGTTTTTTTTTGGGGGTTTTTTTTTTTGTTTTTGTATGAAATGGACAAATTTATATGCTAATAAGTCACTAACTCATATGCATTAGCCACGTGAATTAGCACATCTCTGAAAAAGAGAAGGGTCTTTTCACAGAGTCAATACTGTACCTGTCATAACATCTGCCATGTATTAAGGATTTTGCATATTCATTTAGTGACCTCACTGGATCTTCTTTCCTGTACCCTTGTTCGTCGTCATCCAATGTCACAAAAAATGCTGCTTTTTCAATGGCATCTAAGGACTGTTTGTTCTTTCCACGGCTAAAATAAGCCTGTCGAGCCTTAGCCCATGGTACCCTGCAGAAAGAATTTTATTTACAGCCAGGTTACATGAATTAGGGCATATTTTATCATCCTGAGACATTCCTCCTACTTGTATCAAGTTTTGAGCTGCTTGCTACTTGCATTCATTTAAACTGTATCAGCACAGTGTAACAACACTAATTCAGCATTAGTTCAGTACCCACAGGGGGTCTCCTCAATAAAGCTGGGATGGGACTCTTTATCAGGGAGTGCAGAAAGAAATGTCTCTAAACTAAAAAAGGCAGATTTAGATTAGACATCAGGAAGAAATTCTTCGCTATGACTATGATGAGGCATTGGAACAGGCTGCCCAGAGAAGCTGTGGATGCACATCCCTGCAAGTGTTCAAGGCCAGGTTGGAGGGGCTCTGAGCAGCCTGGTCTAGTGGAAAATAACCCTGTCCATAGCAGGGGGGCTGGAACTAAATGAACTTTCAGGTCCTTTCCAACTCAAACTATTCAATAATGCCTTCGTATCACAACACGAACGCAAAGCATAAGCATTATTCTTCAGAAGTTTCTGCTGCACATAACATGTATAACATCGATCATCTACATTTAATAACTGAACAAAAGAAGATACCTGTTATGTGAAAGAAAACAGTAATAACAATGAAAACAATTCACTGATAAAAATATCTATTGCTGTAACACCTAAATATAAGCATCTGGACAATTTTCCATGAAAACTTCCATGGTAAACAACTGAAACAGATCTAAAGTTAACGAACAAAAATTTCTATGCAGCAGTGCCACATTTATTTATTTAGAAATCTATAACTTTTTCCAATGAAAAAAATGTATTAAAGTACAATATCTCTTAGGTAGTATATTAAAAACCCAAAGCTCTTTCACTTCAGTGTCCAGAAACAAATCAGACAAGACTGAACTGAATTTGTCAAAATAGAATTTAATTCAATGATCTCTCACCAAGAGCCAGGTGAATTTACATTCCCAATCTTAAGTCTGAGAACATTCTGTAAAATGTCAGTGAATCTCAGAGAAAACCTAAAGCTTACATAGTTTAACATGCTTACTACTGCAAAGCCTCAAATTGCTCTTCTTACCACAAAGCAAACTTCTCTAGCTTTCCAGCTAAGTATGGGGAGTCTACACAGAGCTGCAATTGCCAAATTATTTTTAATCCCACATCATCATTACAAAGGACAGCACAGCAGGAACACGTCAGCAATATATTTCCAAATAATGAAATTAATTTAAAAAAAATGATAATAGCCATACCTATCTCCTGCAGTAAGAGCTGCTAATTTCTCTTCACCAGCCTGAGGCTCTGAATCATCATCAAGAATTCTTTGTATCTGCTGTTCAATCTCTCGAGGTTTCAACAGTCTACCATCGTGGTACAGCCACACTTTGAAGTAACGCCCCTTGTGATAGACAACAATGTGTTTGCTGTCTTTCACATGCTGGAGAGTATCTAGAATTTTAAATAGTTTTTATGAAAACAAAGCTGAAGTCTCAAAATACTAATAATACACTATGTAACGGCGAGTGCCTGCTGCATGTACTATCAATTAGCCACAACTCATTCAAACAAGTTTATCTTCACTTTGTTTATAAACAGAAGGTCAACTGGAATAAGCCTAAGAAGGCTTACGACATGAAGGCTTTGTGTCAAACACCTACTGAAGCTTTCTAAGCAGCTAGGTAAACTCCTCATATGATGGAAACCAGTAATTCAGTTCTTTTGCTCTTGCTGTTGACATTCTTACAAATCTGAGGAAATCAGTTGATGAGACAGTGAAGAAAGAGACATCCTAAAAGCCTAAAATTCATTATTCTGAGAAACACAGTACCAGGAAAGAGTTCTCTACTTTGGGCGTTCTGACCTACCCATAAAGTTTTGAGAGGTATCCACTGACCAGAAGCAGTTTTATACTTATGGCACCTTCAGCTAATCTAGATAAAGCTCAAGCTTTTGTAGAAGTATCACAAGGGCACCTGAAAGCTCCAAGAAAATCTGCTGCAGAATTAGCACAGGGTTTGACTCTCAGAACTGAGAAAAACAGACAGCAACATTTTCTTTCATCTGTTGACTACGAATGTTAGTATTTCCAGATGATCTGCCTCCTATTCTATTTTGACGCTGAAAAAAAATAAAATAAAAAAGCATCCTCACACACACCAAAAAAAAAAAAAAAAAAGCCACAAACATAAAAAGAAGCTGAGCCCAGAGAATGTAGGCCAGGCTATTGGGGGGAATCATTGGAGGCTAGTTTGGGGGAGAAGCCCCTATTAAGCCTTTAGGGATACACTCCATAGAAAAATACCACTGCACGGAGAAGAATTTGCCTCAAGTGTTTTAATATTCCAAATTCTCAAAGCTGATGCACTGACTGTCACATTCAAGTACAACAAACAAGTCACCAAACGTTCGTCAGGACCAACCCGAATCCCTGAATGGGAATAAGCCCCTTTAAAGTTTGCAAAAAATTAAAGTTCCTTAGGATCTTCAGGATGCAGGAATATTAAAGCTCCAACCCACCAGGTTATACAAGCCTATGTGACAGTCAAATGTACCTTGAACAAGACCACCATATTCGTTAAGCCTCAACACAACTCTTCAACATGGCAGGTACTAAGACTCGCACCAGTATAAATGAATTATAGGAGATGCAGTTGGAAAATCTGGAATATCTGTCCAGACAGGGATGGAAAGGTATCTGGAAGGTGCCCTGTCCATGGCAGGGGTTGGAACTACATGATCTTTAGTAGTGTCATGGAATCATAGAATGGTTTGAAGAGCTATTAAAGAACATCACCGTCACCTGGAAAGAGCAATACAACTTTAACATGGATATGTAAAAAAATCCTTGCTATGCCAGAGAAGGCATTAAAAAATAAAATAAGGAGATGAAATTACCCCATGGTTACATGGCTAATTTCAATAAGCAACTGAAAGGACTGGAAGAGGTGTGACATACCCTACTTTTCTACCCATGTTTTTCTATCCATGCATTAATGAAAATGCATGCATCTGCCTTCCTTCAAGACATACCTAACTCCTGTTGTCTGAATTGAAAGCATATGTCCATTTACAGTGAAAATGTACAGATGAACTTTGACTTACAGATATAATTGCTTTTTGGGCATGGCTAGCAAACACGATTGCTTGTGAACGTGTAAATACATTCTTAATATCCCATAGAAGCTGCAGGAACAGATTCACATAAAAATAACCCTGTTCTACTTAAACAGGTATCTCAATTCAACAGTAAGATGTAAAAATTTAGTTAAAACTTAGAATAATCATTTCACTGCTGAAAGTTAGAGCAGGAGCTAATAAAAAAGAATGTGTTTTCCTTAATGTGTTACAGAGAAAGATTTAGTCACTGTCCTTCTTAGAGCTGATTCATCTATCTGGTATCTTACAGTGCATACAAATCATCAAGACACTGGCACTGAAAAGCCTGCCTAAGGACTAAGATTGTACCTGCCTTTAACCCAGGTAAGCAACAATGCTGAACACACATTCATATTGAGCAGAATACATTAAGATGCTGTTGTAAATAATAAACTGAAGGAAAAAAAAAAAGTCAAAAAAGGACAGATTTTAAAATGACTCAGATGAGAGAACTCAATCTGTGCAAAGAAAAACTCTGTGTATCAAAAGAAACCTGAAAGGGTAGAACAGGAAAAAAAAAAAAAAAAAGGTTACATATAAATTAAAAGCATGAGGCAGAATTTCCTGAAGTCAGCTTTGAATTAAAGAGACAAACACTGAAGTGAAGTTTCAAAGTCATTCAGAACAGAAAAAACTATCTATGTGCTCTATGACAATTCATTACTTCCTGAGAAACAGCAGTACTGGTGCCCTGGTGTCATTCAACCCCTTAGCTGGAAAAAAAGGGAGTCTAGCAGAAAATATCCCCAAAACTGTGAGCTCCATTAAGATGTTCTTTTCTCCTTGGATAGCCCTGCTTACCTGATTCTTCTCCTGGGATGCGGGAGGTATTAAACATCCGCTCCCACTGAGCTGAGCAAAGCGGAACAGTGGATCCCATCAGAAGAATCTGTACAAAACATGTGGATTAAATTCTAATTTAGTATTTATTGTTAGTAAATTTAAAAGAAAAAAAACAATCTGGGTAAACAAGAGGCTGCAGAACAAGAATATTTCTAATGCATCATTTTTTTTCAGTTCCTTGTTTTCCCTTCAACTACATGTGGAAGATTTCACTCACTGACATTCCAGTAGCTGTATTTCTTATTTTTATTTTTTAATTCTTATCAAAGCTCACTCTTCAGAAGCAAGCACTTAAGATAGCTTGCATCAGAAATCTAATGTGCTCTATGGTCAATCTGGGTTACCCCTTGATTTCTTCCTCTGTTTCTGATTAATCTACCTATGAAATTACATCATAAACCCAAGAGAGTACACAACTCTCCTCCTATCCTTATCTACTTTGGCTCCCTTCCTTGTTGGATTTCTCCTATGCAGGAGAAATCACAACACCAAGTCCAAGGACAACCTTTGCTTCAAACAGCAACAGCTACTCAACTGCACTCTTTCAATGGTACCTTTTGTTATCAAGCAGACCTTCTTACAACCACTATGTCCACATCAGGATCTGAATTCCTCTGAAGTCTGGATGTTTTTAAGGCAGTGTTCTGCCTGACAAATACCATTTCTTAGACACACCATGTATTTACTCCAATTATCTGGGTCCAAACATCCAAACAAACAGAACAGTAGGAAGACTTCCCTAGGACACCTGCTTTGAAGAAAAACTACAAACATTTCTTAGCGTTTCTTTATATGACACTAGGAAAAAAATTGTATCCACTGAATCATCACAGACTGAGTATGTGGGCTGGGGGTTATGATGCTTACTTGAATAAAATACGAAATAGAAACAAATCAAGTATTCAAACAATATCTGCTTGAAAGACACTTAAGTTTTCTGGAAATGCAGTGACCTGAGGAAGTATGAAGTCACACACAGCGTAAATCAAATGTTTCTAAACTTCAGATAAACTTAACTTTAAAAAAAGTTGTCTAGCTTTATTGCTACACCAGCTTAAGAAATGAGTAAATTCAGCAATATACTGAAGTGTTTATTTTCCACATTGATATATCAAGTAAATAAATTCATTGCATTTGGCAGATTCACTAAGCAAAGCAACTATAAGCAGAAATCACAAAGAACAACATGAAAATATGGCAAGCAGTACACATCCAATTGTAGTTAATATTTCAGCATATAACCTACTTCATATGCTACTCAATTTAAAATTCATCCTTACAGTCAGTATTAGCAGGAAATAGGAAAATGTTTTCCTGCTGGGATTTCCAGAACTCAGTGGTTCAGAAGTACCATGACATGCTTGCTACCTATCAATAATTAGTTAGGTGGTGTACTTAACGTATGCAAACACAAGACCTTATTTCTCTTTGGGGCAAATAGCTAGGGTCAGTTTCAAGTGCTGCAATTAGCTGGTGTAACAGAAGCTTGTATCTGATAGCCAGTAGTTTGTGCACATGTGCAATTCAAGTGATAACAAAGATGCCTGAGATCACAAATTCAGTTGAGTCTCACATATGGTTCTGGCACAACTCTTTCCTCTCCTGCTGTAAAAGCTGATCAACTCCTTATGAACTGAGCTGGAAAAGACCAAAAGCTATTTAAACCAATGTACATACTGGCTTGATTTCTTGTCTGTCCAGTTTTTTCCGGTAGAGCAGGATGGCATGGATAATATTACCAGCTCTAGCTGCCTGTATGGTTGTGGGAAATAAATAAAGGAAGTCCTGCAAAGTACATAAGAATCTTAAGTTAGCTATTATCATAGAACACTGAAAAATATACAGTACTACTGTTTTTTTGTGTTTTTGTTTGTTTGTTTGTTTTATTTTTTTAAGCTATATTCTGGTCAATGAAGTCAAGTCTTGAAAATACATGAAGTACATTAGTGCAGTGAGTTGATGACTTAAATTCCATTCCTTCAATAGCCACAATTTCCTTAACAGCACCAGTTTGAAAATCTACAGCATGGCTGTCAGTCATCCCATACAATGCTACTGAAAATTTGAATTCAAAACCACAGTATTTCCTACTTATGTTTTTAACCTCAGGGTCTTTCACAATTTTACTTCCTGTACAGACATTTACAAATACCAGAACACACAACTGTGCTATGCATATGCATCAGTTTGTTTTTTTTCCACATTAATCTTTTTTAAAGATAGCTTGTTGCAGTAAGTATAAAACTGTAAAAGAAGCCATCACTGCACAAGTTTGCCCAACTGCCAGATGTGCTAAGTTTATTATGAAGATAGCACTTTGTAAGACATTTGTTTCAGATTGTACTCCAGAAAGAACAAAGAAAGCCATATACTCAGTGGCAACAGAAGTCTAAAAAGGGAAATATTAAAGAAAAATAAGTTAAGATCCATGACAGAAATTTTCCAATGCTTCTTTGACCCATAAGGCATTTATAGCATTTACCTACCATTGCAAAATAGTTACTGTTAACCATAATTGGTCCACGCCCTCTAAGGTAGATATATTCTTCCCACCAATCGCTCACCTGTAGGATGAAAAAAGATGAGTAAAAGTTCATTATTTCTATAGTTGACACCTGCTGTGTTGGTAATTCCACATTACAGTGCTTTGTACAGAAATAGAAATTTAACAGTCAGCTTGCCACCCCCCAACTTAAAAACATACAAAGAAACAAAAATCCTCCACTGATTTCTGTTAATATTTAAGGAAAGCAAATAAAAAAAAAAGTGAGATAATTCTAGAAATAGTAAGTTTCTGAATAAATTGTCATCTTGACATGACATTTGAAATGCATCAGAAACCCCAAATGCTGGGGTAACCTAAGAGAACTACAGTTAATGTGTAGAGCCAGATTTTAGATACCACATCAGGAAGCTTAAGAGCAGCCTTGGGGTTGTTCAGCCCGGAGAAGAAAAGGCTCAGAAGAGAACTTATTGCAGCCTTCCCCTACACAAAAGGGGCCTACAGGAAAGTAGGGGCTTTGTAAAAAGGCATAAAAGGATAGAACCTGGGTAATGACTTTAACCTAAAAGAAAGGAGATTTCAATGAGATATCTGAGGAAGAAATTCTTCACTATGAGGGCGGTGAGCACTGGAACAAGTTTTCCAGAGAAGCTGTGGATGCCTCACGTTTGAGGCCAGGTAGGATGAGGGGCTTTAAGCAGCTTCACCAAGTGGTTGGCAACGCTGCCTACTGCAAGGGAGTTGAAACTAGGTGAGGTCCTCCTAAAGGACCTTTCTAACCCATGCCATTCTATGATTATAATTGCATTACACAGTTCTCACTACGATACTGCAGTTTGGATTTTCTTTTTGATGGAAAACATTTGTTACAATTGCTTATTTCTTCTCCATATGCTTTATCAATTCTACATAAAAAAGTTTTCCTAAAGTACTCTTCTATCTAAACTACCTGGACAGCTATGTTCAGGGTTTAATTACAAATCTTAACAAGGATAAATAGACTATGAGCAGTCGTAATAGCTAAATCACTGGCTCCAGAATAACACACACAGAACTGAACAAAGATGTGCTCTATAAAGTTCCATTTACCAAACTTTCTGTTTTCAAAATCCCACATCAACTTATTTCTGTGCAAATCCAGTGGTCTCCAACACACTTTGCAGAAGTTTCAATTCCCTTCTTCTCCATTTAAGACAGAATGAACAATAAGCCAAAAATACAACAGGAAACAAATAAATATTCAACAGATGTAATTTGAAGTCGTCTGTTGATCTACTCACATAGTTTGTGGCCCACCACGATTTTAGTTTTAAGTACCACTGAAGCCTTGGTCCTAAGTTAAACGCAAAATCTTTTGCAAGACCCTCCATTCTTTTGAACTCTTCATCATTCATAAGTGGCCGGACTGATTCCAGATACTACAATACAGGAAGAGAATCAGCATCAGTGTAGTTGCAGATGTGCACCTTCTCATCATTTCAGCAGAAAGTCATGTACATGGATTCAATGTTACCAAAGATAACGAATCGAATTCCACGCACCCTGGTGACTGTGTCTTTGACAGCTGGAACTGGCAATCGTGGTAAAGACGTCTGGAAACTGTACAACATGGGCTTACGTCCTGAGAAGAGTTTTACAAGAGTCTGAAGGAAAAACAAAATCAAAATATACACTTCAATTTATTATGTTCCACAAAGGAAAATGACAAGAGTAAAAGGAATAACATAGCTGGGAGTTCCTTTCACTAGTAAGCAACATTAGACTAAATTTAGCCAACTATCATCTTTATCATTGTTTGACAAAGGCAAAAAGGCAATGGCAAACTATCTTCCAAAGCAAACAACACATCATTTGAAGAAAAAGAGCATCATGGAGATTTCCTGACTTCTTCTGGTCATTAGGCAATATTGTTCGCATATGACACGCCTTGATCTCAATAGAAAACGGAGGCAGTTACTGAGTGAACTTCCTCATTCATTTTCCTTTATGAAGATTAAAAAGCAAATGTACCCATCGATATTTTACTTATAAAATAGGCAATAGAAAAACCCACCTGAATTGTACTCCAAAACAGGAATCGTTCAGTCAAGCATCCCGCATAACAATAGCCATCATTAAGAATTATGCTTTGGAATCATGCTTTCATATTTTTCAAAGTTATATCTCAACATCAAGAGTACACATTTAAAGGGAGTTTCTTTAAGAACAGTTTGCTCCCAGATAATCAACTGCGTGATTTAAACACATCAAGTTGTGCAAGCATGCCAATGTTATGCACAGTCCTTGTGTTATCAAAAACCAATAAACAAACAAAAAAAATCAAAGACAACAGTTCCAGACTCAGTTTCAAGTTTTACAGCATCCCATCTTCTCCACGAAACTGAAGATAGAAATGCTGCTTCTATCTCTGAATACCTCTCAGCTGTGACACGCACTAAGTTGAAACTCTCAACCAGGCAAATTCTAGACTATACATGGAAGGATATTGATATTAATCACCCCATTTGGGCATGAAAGTAAAATCAAGTATTAAACCAACAGTTCACTTATTCTGAAGTACAATCTCAACATCCTATATAGTATATTCTGTGAAGTTCAATATACTGTGTTCCAACGGGCTGAAGACAGAAGAAAACTGAGGATGCCCTTTCACTACTTAATTGCTAACATTTGCCCCATTCACCCAAATTACAAACAACTGAAAACACTACTTACGAGAACAGCCCATTCCCTCTCCATTTCCTTGGTCAGCACAGCTACAGGAAGCTGTTTCAGGCAGCAAAGCCATTAACAGTCGCAGTGTGTTACCAGCAAAAAAAACCTCCCCGCAGCACAGATCTGCTAGATGCACCATAGTGATCAGCCTAATGAAATCTGATTGTGCTTCGTGGATAAGACAATTTTAAAGCCAGGTGAGAAAAAGACCACAGCTTTTCGTAAGAAAATCTACTTCCCTTACTTGGAGACTATTTTATTCCAGAACTCTTCAGCCAGGCAAGATTTTCTTCAGACAGAGAGTAAGACTACCTGCTCAACTGACAAATACAACAAACATGCTCAACTACAAGTGTACTTAAGAGTCTGAGACCACTGAAGTGATCTGACACCTCCTTCATTACTTCTCTGATTTCACATCCTAATTCCCATCAGAAAACCTAATTACTTCGAAGCTGAAATATTTTCATTAGATGGGTCACCAGACTTCCAATTAGCCTGCCAAACAATCAGTACTGCAGCTGAAATCGCAGCGCAGGTTTGCTATCTGCAGGACTATTTGAACAAAGAAAAACATCGTGAGTATATTGTTATGCTGTTAATCAGCATGAAAATCAGCTGGGGTAAAAACAACACATGCACAGGAAAATCCCTCCTGGATAACAAAGGTTTAGAAAGCTGAGGTAGCTGGTGCTGGTTTATAGGCAAACTAGTCCTCTCTTTTGTTGGAACTACTTAAAAAAATGCAAGGAGTGAAATAAAGGCTTATATTAAACAGAGATGAGATACTGCTAGGCATACACCTGTATAGTGGCCTGTTTTTAAACCACGTGTAACACACAGCAAAATAGAACAAATGTATGCAGCATATCATATACCAAAGTATATCAATAATATGCAACAGAGCGTGGTAAGTAGCACTACAGTTCATACTGTTCAAGGCTAGTGTTATAAGCTAAGATTAACAGCCTTAACATATCTGTTTGGTAGGACATGCTGAAAACCCAGACAGAGAGAGCTTCAAGCAATCGACAGAAAGCCTTACCATTCAGAGCCTGGACTGTACAAATTCAAGTCATGAGGCTCTTGACACTGCTTCCAGGAGAAACTATTGATTAGAAATTTCATTTGTAACAAACTAATATTGAACTGTAATGTATATTCTGGATATCTGTTGTTGAACAACTTCCATAATATATCATTACACATCTCTTGATTTTTTTAAGGAAGCTAACTCTTATCTTAGGAGAGCACTTAAATTCTATGTCAACAATGGAAGAAGTTTAAACAACTGAGCCTGAATAATAAAAATCCACTCCCCCTTCCAGAGCACCTATACATACCTTCCCCACACCTATTACAGCCTTTAAGGGAGATGGCAGCCTCTCAAACCCTCTTCCAAAGCATCTTTATTATCAAGAGAAGCCACGTCATTCTAGTCTTATCTTTAAGTGTAAATTGTGTTACAAGCTACCCACCTCATATGTTTTCTCCAACTCTGTTTGGAGTCCTACCACTACGACCGTTTGAAGGGACAGACTGTAGTTTTCTTTAAATGTAAGGTTAATTTTAGAATGGATGACTAAAAATACCAGCATTTCTATTTTAAAAAAGAATTAGAGTAGTGCTTTCTGGAGAGAACAACATTTTTTTGTTGTTGTTCCATAGCCTGAGTTTAAGCTGTGGTTGCACATAGGGAAGTGGGCATTTGAGTCACACAGTCCCAAGGTGCTGGGAAATTTAGACATTCTTCTTGAAGTGTTTGCTTTTCCTTCCACAAGGCCATATTGAATAGTTTAATTAAAGCATCAAAAGGATGATAGTCATTAGTAAAAAATACCCAACAGCCCTTGTTCTGTGACACAGAAAACTCAAGCAAGACAGAAAAAAAGAACAACTACAAAACTATCTACTTCAGGGCTTTGAAAACAGACCACATACACAAAGAGATGAGATAGAACAGAAAGTCAATACATCCTTACCATCCACAGCTTGGTGCCTGCAGAAAGTTTGCCGTGTTCAGCAAACATCCAGCCATGATAGGAAAGCAGCATTTTCAGGGAGTACCTCATTGTGACAATAAGGGCAACCCAAAGCCCTGTGCCAAAAAGTATTCCACTCACAATGTTCTGTGTTTGGTTTGACATATAGCCACTATTTAAAACAAAAGGCAGTATGAATCAGTTAACGTCAGTTTAAGTTTTAAGGAGAACTTAACATTACCAACCTACATTCTGTGGTACAAAGGCAGGCATTGTGCAAGTTTTACACCTGTCTGCTCCTTGTTATTGAACTCCTTTCCAAACTTCCTCTCCCATGGCCAGAACTAAGGCAACAGGAGTTGCCAAATGCACTTCCCAAACACGTATACAACAATGCAGTAATACTGGTACAACAACCTACACATTTAATAACTTCATGCATTAAGATTTACGCTTACTCTATCACAAAGACACTGTTCAAAGACTGGTATGCTTTAACAGGATTTAGATGAAAAGCAATTACACATAAAACTGATTTGGTTTAGAGAACAGTAAGTTTTCAGACTACTTACGTTGTATCAAGGGTTCGGTTGATTTTCGCTATTATTCCTAAAGAAGGATCAATTTTGGCATACATTGTTGACATCACACCCACAACTACAATAAGCCAGCTAGAGGGGCTAGCAGGATAAACACCAGTGATAATTCCATTCTGGAAAGAAAAGCCTTCACATAATTTTTTCATACCAAAGCGGTTGACTTCATATTACCATGGAAAGAAACAAAAATCAATACATTTAAGTCATTTAATTTTAAACAAGATTATCCAGCATTTTTTTCATGGATTTTAGCTAAGTTCGATTGCTACCGAAAATTCTCACAACAATACCAGTAATTACTTCATAGATTATGCAGTTTGTGCCACAAGTTCTAGTGAAAGCACTGCAATCAGCAAAGTTCTTTGGAATAAATGACATTTCCAATTATGATTCCATAATCCCATTATTAGCCCTTCCTAAACAAATACCTGGGAAAAGATTCAGAAATCTGAATCTACAGGAATCTACTGGACAAGATTCAGAAAATTGTCATTTAAACTGTCTGTCTCAAAGATACTTTTCTTAAGGCTACTTTTTAAAAGTATGTGAAAAAGACACTGAAGTCAGCCTGTCGCTTACCTCATGTACTACTAATAGAATAGATACCATTTCTGATTCTATGAGCAAAACAAAACAACAATCAGAAACATTACTGTTTGGTGTAATTTATTCAAGATGGATGTTCAGGTACCTTTGGAAAATAACAAACATTTTTTCCTAATTTGAAGATTTATTTTTGGTAAAGAACACATAAATCAAGAATGTAGTTTTGTACCTCTGCACCCACATGATTTTGAAAGTCATGACTACATTTTTGATCTATGCAAATAGATAATATTTAATTCTATGAGCTGTTGAGAATAAAATAAAGGTATTATTAATTTCTAACACCCGCTTCATCTTGATTCCATAGAACAGATAAAAAAGAAGAATCCTTTCAGTCTTGACATTGTACTTTTAGCACAGCATCAGCCAGCGCTGATGTTTCCTTACTACCCTTGTTAACTAAAATTCACAGAAGTCATTTGCTGTAAGGAACTTCATATGCCAAAGAGGCCTAAAAATTAAGTTCTGCTTAAACAAAACTATATATCTATGAGAACCTTAAGTTTGGTAGGCTTGACTAGTTTTAAGTACCTTGAATCTGATGAACTTTTTCTTCCATGAATGGACACCAGATAGGTAAATTTGTTTGAGTGCCTCATGGCTCATTCGCAAGTCAATCCCATCTGGAGTTACTGTAAATTGAAATGCTACTGCTTGATGAGCTTCTGCCATTTTTGGAGAGAGTTCTGTTAAAAAAAAAAACCAAAAAGAAAAAAAAAATTAAGACTCTGTACAAAGGTACTAAAATCATAAGCATAACATAATAATTCCAGGGGAGATTCAGGTTGGACTTCAGAAAATACTTCATCTCAGAGTGGTCAGGCATTGGAATTGGCTGCCCAGGGAGGTGGTGGAGTCATTGTGGGGGTGTTCAGGAAACATTTAGATGTTGTACTGAGGGAAATGGTTTAGTGGGGAGCTATTGGTGATAGGTGGACGGTTGGACTGGATGATCTTGGAGGTCTTTTCCAACCTTGGTGACTCTACGATTCTACGATAATCAACACCATTTGGACCAGGGCAGCACTGACGTTTTTCTGTAAGCGTAGCACTTTTGCAAATCTCAAGTTTAGACTTCTTAATTAAAAATTAAGTTCCAGTTGACCTTCATCCCTTGCTAAACCGCTTGTTAGAGCTAACAAGTACAGTTTAGCAGAGCACTTCAAAAGTGGTCTGTTGTGACTTCGCTCATCCTCGCTGTAAATATTCTACAATGCCAAAATCATCTGGAACGTGGGAGAAGAAACACAAAGGTTCGTGTATGAATATACAGTAAAGGAATGTAAACACTGGGAATGCTGTATTAACAGGACTAGGAAATAAATACACAATGTAGAAAGAGTATTAGGGTGAGATGAACAAGATAAATGCTGTTGCACAACATCTAGTAAGGTAATTGACCAACAGGTAGTGCAATATTTATAAAAGTACCTATCTCTAGGTCAGCCTCCAATGATCAGCCTCTGGATATACAACTGCTCCTAGAAGAGCTGATGGCAATCCAAAGACCTCCCAAATCCATCAGTCGCTGCTGGGGAAGGCAGAGGCTCAAATCTTGGTGAATCAGGTTTCTGGGCCTCCAGAAACTAAGCTAACGCTCATGATACTGTGATAGAATGCAATTTCATCTATGCATGCACAGTGTTTCATTAGGACAGCAAAAAAACAAAACTGGTTTTGAACACAAGTTCCAAGACAAGCACTGTATGCCCTCCTTGTAACAGCTGCAATTTGTAGTACTCCATGACTCAGTCACTAACAACTGCTTATTTATAATGGCCTTGTTGAAGGCAAGTATCAGGAAGTCAAAGTCAGCTGTGTACTCGTTCATGTGAGTTGCACACCATCAGCTCTACACTGAGACCAAAACTGCATGAGCAATAAAACAGAGACAGGCAGTGGTTAATACATGGTACACCCTGGAGTTAATACATGGTACACCCTGGACTCGACAGGGTTTGCAAAAACACAGAGCAATTAAAGAATTCATCATAAGTCTAGTGCTGTTCAGACAGTTTAAAAAACAAAAATAAACCCAACCATAGCTCTAAGTGGAAAAACAGGCTCCTCGATTTGTCTCAAGAAAGGCCAACTGACTCTCCAGTTCACTCCTGGAATTTTACATTCTGGGATGCCAACGCATCAGCAGCAGGTCAGCTGGTTTCCACTACCCTTCAAGCCCCCTGTGGCTCCTCAACCTGAGAATTCATAATCATCCTCCCTCTGTTTCTGAAGAGAAAGAATTTCTGGAAACCCTCTCACTTAAGTACATGCATTTGTATTGTCCGAGGTAGGAAAAGATTATAAATAGCATTAATCATAAACAGCCTCATATTTTACTAAATTTAGTTCAATGGTCAGGCTAAATTTAAATAAGCTTCAATAAGGAAAACATTCCCTATAGCCAAAGTACAAATGAAAGAACATTAAACCAGCAAGAATGAAACCTGAATCAAGTAACCAAGCACAGAAGACAAGGATAGTTAGAGAACTGCACTGCTTGATCCTGAAAGATATTAAAGCATCACACAGCATGCCTCTCTTCATATCCTTTTCCTTTACTGAAGAAAAACCAAGTATCTCAGACTACTGTTTGATTGAATTATGATGGCTGAGCAGCAAAAAGACTTCCTGGAGCTCCTTCCTTTGAACACTTCTTTTAGCCTACACAGGCCAATTCAATCATAAGCTGCCCAACACTTCCCCTCCTTTGCATTCCTCCACTGTCACGTGCTTGCTAACAAAGTAGGGAAAAGGGCACCGGCCGAAGGAGCATGCGCTGGATTCTCAATTTGACTTGCCAATGTTAGTAAGGCAGCGCCCACATCCATCAGCTTGCTAACACTGAAACAATAACTTCTCGTAACTCCAGGCGTTTCGGTCAGCAAATGCAGAATAACCTTTCCCAGCCATAAACAAGAGCTAAGCAGTTTGGCTGATCTTACTGAAAGGAGAAGAGAGAAATGAACACATGTTCACCATCAGCCTGAAGTGGCTATTTTCATCCTTTGAGTGTTATTTTCCTAGTATTAACATACCTCCAAAACACGCCTCGCTCCTTACTAAAATCAAACAGAGTTAAAGGAGAAAGCTGCCTGCTCCTTGTTCTTTTCTGGTTTCAGTTCAATTCAAACACGCTGTATCAGCCACTAATGCTTCTCCTTCCTCCTCTTCATAACTCAGCTTAAGCCAATCAAAGCTTGCCACAATTTTCCTCTTGTTACAAACAAAATGCTGGTAGGTTGGAAGTAAGCTTTTTCAGCTGGGAAAATACACGTCAAGTCCTGATAGACCTCACCGGCCAAAAATGCTATGACTGAAAATCTGTATTGCTGTCTGCTACACACAAAGCCTCTTCACTGTGCTATTGTTACACCTTTACTGATGCTACAGTAATAATGTTTAACTTTTTAGCTTCTACTGCCCATAGACTCAATGATTTCAGGGTGCAGACGCCAAAGAGTCCACTTCGTATTACAACCTATGTGTCCTGTAGCCACTGAAGGAGATGAGGGTCTCCTATTTAAATGTAGTTTTTACATCCTCTGCTCCTTTTCCTGCAAACAAAGCAAATTCACAAATGAAGGGTAAAATGAAGAGATCTCTTATTCACAGGGCCCAGAACTGCCAAAATCTGGGTTAAAGACTTAATTCTATGACTCTTGCTTGCAAGCAAGCTCAACAATTCAGTTTGAAGCTCTCTTCGTGATATTTTGACATCTATTTGTACATTATGTGGAGCACACATCTGCCAGGAATCAAACTCAGCTTACACAGCAAATCCCCCCAATTCTTCTACTCTGACAATCAGTGGTTGAGAATTTTCTGAGAAGAGCAATGACTGCTACATTGTTTCTCTGAGAACATCCCCCACATAGGACCCCACCAAATATAATGTTGCTGGAGCTCTCAGACAGACATCTCCAACACCCTGACCGCAGATTGCTCCCTGGTGGCAGGCAGACTTGAAGCATTACACATCTCCATGCTAAGAGCTAAATTATGCTGCTGGATTCAGAATCACAGAATGGCCCAGGTTGGAAAAGACACCACAATGATTATCTAGTTTCAATCCCCTGCTGTGTGCAGGGTTGACAGCCACCAGACCAGGCTGCCCAGAGCCACATCCAGCCTGGCCTTGAATGCCTCCAGTGATGGGGCACCCACAGCCTCCTTGGGCAACCTGTTCCAGTGCTTGCAAGCTGTTCCAGAGCTTAAAAGCACCTGAAAAGCTTATAAACTCACGCAGGTGCACACATTTCTTCTAAGAAATAAAAACAGTTAAGCTTCCCTTCAGGAGATGAGCTTGATGCAGCTTTCGGAAGAAATGGTCATTAAAAAAAGAAAAAAAAAAATCATTTGTTATCTATTTTGTCGTTTTAGGATAGATCACCAGCATGCAAATGCTAAAACATCATAACCAGATACTAAACTAAAAGCAAGATAATTCCCAACACTGAGGTGTCTAAGCACGGAGGCCGGCTGGAAAGCCAGCCTGAAGCAAGTTGCACAGCAGCCAGCAAGGTGCCCTTCAAGCAAAGGTTAACAGCCCTGAGGTGCATTAGGAGCAGTACTGCTAAGAAGTCAGGGGAGGTGAGTCTGCCCCTCTCTAGCTCTGCTCAAGTCCCGTTCTGAGAACCGCCTTCAGTTCTGGGCTTCGCAGTACAAGGGAGATGAAGCAACCAGAGTTCAGTGAAAAGCTGTTGAGAAGATTAAGAACTTGGAACATCTCTCCTATGAGGACAGGCTGAAAGAGCTGAGACTGGATTGCCTGGAGAAGAGCAGGCTTGGGGGATCTTACCACGTCTGTAAACACCCAGAGGGAGAGTGCAAAGAGGACAGAACCAGAAGAAAAGAAGCACTACATACAGAGCAGAACAGGAAAAAAACCCAAGAAACTGCACGGAGCACCTTACAGGCAGCACATTTCCCTTTTGTTTAATCTTACTGCTTCTTATAGCCCATGTATGTACTATTTATGGACCAAGCATAACATTTCAGGAAAGCATACATGAAGTGAAAGCTGAAAGAACACCTTCAAAGGCATGGAATAAAAACAATCAAGTCAACAGCTCAATGCTGACTTCAGAAGAAAATAATTAACATAGTAAAAAAAATCCAAAGTTCTCAAGTCATGATAAGTTCATAGCTCCCTTGATGATGTTTACTCTGGATGGCCTGGATGTGCAACACAAAGCATTCAAACTCCAGCAGTCAGCATCTGTAGCATCTCATTTGCAGCAGGGCCTGAACCCAGGAGAACAAAACTCCCAATTCACCATTAGTGCCACTTACACTGTACATAAATACAAAAGCTTTCTGAAAAGTAGAGTTTCAACTGGCTACCTAGCAGAGATTCTTTCTGAAACTTAACATAGACATCTTTAAAAGTAGATCTCATTTAAAAAAATAGGTCTGATGAAGAAATCCTATGCACAAACAACTCAATTGCTTTGAAAGACCATCATGTCTTAGAAGACAAAGTAGAACCAGACAAGCACTCAGGAAGTGCTTTCTGCAACTGACAGAAGCGTACAATTAATCCGGAGGACAGAAAGTTGGATTCCACAATAGAATTTACATACAGACGTTTTTGTATGAACTTTATAGACAGATGGAGGCATTTTAAATACTGCTACAGTGAGAGCTGGCTGGTTTAAAGGTAGCAGGCAGCTTTCTGGTGCTGACCTTAAGTGCTGTACCTTAAGTGCTGGTGATATAAATGGTGGGAAAGAACACAAATTCCTAGTAGTAAAAAGTCCTTGAAACTTAACGTCATGTGTGTATTCATTGGAAAGGAAAACAATGACCCTTCTTATCCACTTGAGGCCCTGTATTACCAATAACAAAACCTGGGTGACTTCAGTGATGTCTTTTCAGAAAGTCTGCTACAGGTGCAGAAGATTCATTCACTGAAACGTATGCTGTCAGCAGTATCCAGCATCGATGCAGTCAAAGTCACATCTGCCGTTATACGAGTGCTTCCCCACCACTACCTGACAACCTAACATCAGACAGGATTTGGGTAAGGCAGGCAGCTAACCAGAAGATGCCTAAAGCAGTTTACAAGAATCTGGTGCTCCATTGATGAGCACTTGAAGGAAGTTAAAACTAAAGCATCCCATTTAACAGAAATACAAAGATGAAAGTTGGCTAATTTTATTTGCATATAATTTCCCAAAAAAGGTTGCTATGCCTCTCAAAGGAAAATAATTTTTTGATCTCCAATTCTCTTCATATTTCACTGAGAAATATGCAGCCCAAACATTTAATCATGACCAAAAAGGCTTTTGTTTATTGGATGTTCTACCAGCTAATACCACTTTCTTGCGGCCCATCTTAGAGATCTAGAGCTTTGCAAAAAGGTAACGAGATCCCTCAGGAAGAATAAAGAGCTTATTCACAAACCACGTGATATTTTGCAAGTGGCTGACTTCTGAACTTACTATACAGATTAACCAACACTGTTATTCAGTTAAGAATTTCTACTTCAGAATAGCTTGCTCACGTACAAACCTTCAATAATAACTAATCATGCTTGAGCTGCACTTATCACTGGCTACTTTACATGCTTAAGTTTTACCAACAGTTCACTTCCCTACTCCAATGGGACTGCAGACACAAAACTATTAAGAGAAATCCAAGAGGAGCAAAGCCAAGTTTTTTCTTTTTTGTGCAATAAACAACCACGTGGGTTAAATTCAGCAGGTCTTCTCGGGTGAACCTAATAACTGCGGTACAGAAATAAAACAGAAACCAAACAATCACCCGCCTTTAAAACTTCCATTAAATGATAATGGGCTGAATGCTACGCTAACCTGACAAGTTCTCTCATGCCAGGCTAGCTGTAACTGAAGGGAGTTAAAACCAGTTTAAGTTTCCCCAAAAGCTGAATGCAATTATTTACATGATAGATCTCTCAAAGGATTGCCAAAATAGGATTACTGGGCCAATCCAATGATTGAGATGGCTTAAGCAAAGCACTGGATGAGATAGGAACTTTTTAATGTAAATTTTAGGGGTTATTTTTTTAGTTGTCATTATTGCTGTATAAGCAATAAGCATTGGCTTCCATCCCTCTTATCCTCCCCTATGGCTGAGGGCTGTAGTCCATTGAAATTACAATGTTTAAAGGATTTTCTGCACCTAAAAAATGAACAAATGGTGTGTTGCAAGCCCACCGAGAGAACTGAGTGCATGTATGTGCACAGGTACAGCAGCACTGGGACCTACTACAAACCTCACGTGCAGCAAGTTCGAGATCAGAACAGCCAAGCAGTGCGCAGTAACTCGTTGCCCCCACTGACAAAGCTATCAGCTTGTGTCCCATTCTCAGCATTTTCCAGCATCACTTATGGGGGTAGAATAGATAACCTCCAAACGCAGCTTCTTTGAAATTTTGGCCCAATTTCCTTATCCCCTTCCCAAAGGCTAAAATGGGATGGCAGGCACATGTGGAAGGACAGTATGAAAACAGACAAACAGACCAAGGAATGAAATGCAAACATACCTGAACAGCTCTGTATTCCTCAAAAAAGAATTTGTGATCTGCTTGTCCCCCAGAGATCTTCTATCCCACAGACTCACTGCAGCTGGGTTCTTGAGTAGGTCAGAACACGCTCAGAGCCAGACTCATCCCAATGCTGTTAGCTGCTAATAGCCATTAAACGATGGCAATGACAAACAGTTCACTGTAGCTCTGAAACAGAAAGTCAAGAAAAACAGTTTGAGCTTTGATTCACACAGGGCTTTCAATGGCTGTGAGGGACTGGATCAAACTGGAAGCCCTCAAGTAAAATTTATGCCAAAGGAAAGCATTGTCACAAAGAGTAGTGTGAAACTGTTTTCCACTACACTGCACGAATATACTGGATTGATCTGGCTGTATTTAGCAGGCCTAAGATGGTGAATAAGAGTTCACCCAGTGCCCTGCTCCCCTCTTAGCTATTTCTGAGGGCTGAAATTAGCGGCTGTTGGCTTGTGCAACAAGCAAGGTGATCTCAGTGGCCAGACCCAAAGGCCAGATTCATCGTGCGGTTTAAGACATCCAAATGCAAGTTCCATCCTGCAGGCTTTAAGCTCCCATCAACCTTGATCCCACCAAGATTTCTTGGAGACACGTTCACAGAACAGGCTGCTTTCACCAGTGCCTCCAGGAGAAAAGACATGGATAGATAAGCAGCTGTCTTCCCACCTGCAGAAATTGAGGACAGTCAAGCAAAAAGCATAAGAAGACCAGTTATAGCAGACGTGTTCATTACTAGACTAACATTAATGAATTTTAATCCCTACTGTGTATGGATCATATAGCCTCTTTTCTCTTCCTGAATATCATGCTGCTCTACTGGATGGTTCCATGATGTTACTCCACCAAGAACAAACATACAACAGCAACACTGAACTGCTCCACAGCTGTAATCAAAACTGCAACTCTTACAATTGTTGCTATTTACATTCTTTTCTATGAGCAGTAGGACATACTGAACTTCTGCTAAGCCTTTTGCATCATCCTGATCTTCACTGCAACACACATTAGATTGTACACATTTCATTCAATAAGCCACCTCTTCTCATCTTCTCAAAACTCAGTCATCTTGACAAGTAAGAGATAAACACAAAAAAGCAAAATGCTGCACAGCTGCTGCACTATGCAGAAGCCTCCCACACCCTCAAAAGCAAACCTCTGGGCTCTGAGTATTTTATTTCTTTTAAAAATGCTGCCATAAAAAACATTATCCGGGCATTCACAGAATGGCTCGGTTTGAAGGGACATCAAGGACCATGAATCTCCAACCCCTACCACAGGCAGGGGCACCAACCTCCCCATTTAATACCAGACCAGGCTGCCCAGGGCCCCATCCAATCTGGCCTTGAACACCTCCAGGGACAGGGCATCCACAACCTCTCTGAGCAGCCTGTTCCAGCACCTCACCACTCTCATAGTAAAGAGCTTCCCCCTGACATCCAACCTAAATCTTCCCTCCCTCAACTTCAAACCATTTCCCCTTGTCCTGCTGTTATCTACCCTTTCAAAGAGTTGATTCCCCTTCTGTTTGTAGGCTCCCTTTAAGTACTGAAAGGCTGCAATGAGGTCACCCCGCAGCCTTCTTTTCTCCAGGCTGAACAAGCCCAGCTCCCTCAGCCTGTCTTCGTAGGGGAGGTGCTCCAGTCCCCTGATAATTTTTTTTGGCTCTCCTCTGGACCCCCTCCGACAGCTCCCTGTCTTTCTCGTACTGGGGGCTCCAGACCTGGACACAGGCTCCAGATGGGGCCTCACAAGAGCAGAGTAGAGAGGGACAACCACATCCCTGTCCCTGCTGACATTCAAACCACTGCAGGTGTTTTTCCACTTCTCCCTCCCTTTGCACTAAGTACCTTCTGTGGTCACGCAGCAAAGAGTTGTGCTTAACTTCCTGATGGCAGCAAATATTTCTGTAACGTCTTCGCTTTCAGCAGCCCTGCACCTGAAGCCGTCCACCTCCCAGCACCTCTGAAGTCCTACAAGCTGACCACCACATCCAGTGACTGAAGACAAACGGAATGAATTGCTCCCGATGATCATTCCAAGAGTGGAATGAGTGAGCATGGAACATTTTACTTATATTGGAACCGATTATTCAAATAACATTAACTTAGACACGGAAGAGAGGAATGCTTTTTAGTCAGACAGATGCCGTTTTTCTGAGCAGGTGGAATTTGGGACTGCACTACAGCTCCGTGCAGGACAAAGGGAACGGCTTCAAAATATAAAAAGACGCACTTGGCTTTTATTTTAAACATAAGCTTCCACTTGAGTCACCTTCACAGAAGGTTTTCCAAAACTGCTCACGCAGTCATGCTCCAGTTGCAGCTCTCCAACAGTGTGTGCACGCAGCGAAAGCAAACATCCCCTCCCCGCCAAGGGCACACCGGCCCTCCCCTCACCCTCCAGACACGGCCACGTGGAGGAGCGGCCCGATCCCAGGGGAACTCGATCCCAGCTCCGTCCCGGGACGCCCGCAGCCCGGCCGCTCAGCCGCGCGCGCGCCCCCGCGAGCCAGGCCGGCCCACGTGACCGCGGTCGGGAAGTAGGGGAAAGGTCGCGCCGCCGCAGCGCCGCGCCAGCGCGCCCCGGGCGGCTCCCGAGCGCTGCCAGCGCCGGATAGAAGTTACTAAAGAGAAGGAAGCGGACTCTATCTCAAAGGCAGCAGGAGAAAGCGACGTGCTTTGCCTGCATAACGTTCTGTTTCCAGTACAGCTCGCAGTGTTACGACCCCTCGGTTGCGCAGCGTTAAGGTTTCCTCTAAAAATAAGGCTTTCTTGCTCCCTAACCAAAGCTCAAACACCCCCAAGCTCCAAAGAGCCCTCGGAGATGCTATTTCTACAGCTGTGCCAGAGCTCTACCTCGGTGCCAGCACGCAATGCCACGCTTCCCAGTCCGCATCGCTCACCCACAGCGTTACAAAGCGGTAACGATTCATTAGCACCAAAGATTCGGTACGGCCACAATAGGAAAAGCACCGCTGCGAAAGCGCATTCCTAACCCTCATTTAATGGTTCACCTCAGGCAGAGGACGCGACCCGGGCGTCGGGAAGGTCAGAGAGGCAGGAAAACACAGTGCGGGAGAAACCGAGAACGAAAGGCACCAGAGCCGCCCCGGTCGAGAACACGGCAGGAGGAAGCGAGCCGCGCCCGGCACAGTGCGTCCCGCTTTGGGACCGGCCGCCGCGCAGCGTGCGGGATGCAGGGAAGGGCCGCCCCAGGAAAGGCGCTCCCTGCGGCAGTTCCGCCGGCAGCAGCACAGAGCCGCGTTCCGCCAGGCTATAAATAACGAGACCGGCGTTTCGCGTCGATCCTGCCGCCTGAACTCGAGCAAGAAGGCAGAGATGGAAGATGCGGCAAAATGTCAGCGTGCCTTTAGCAACAAGTTCAGCGGGCGCTGCCGCCCGGCTCGGCGCCCCGAAGCAAAGCGCGGACGGGAGGAGCCGCGTCCCAAAAGCGCCGAACGAACGTCCCGGCCCCACGCGCGCACGCCGCATGTAGGTCACGCACCGCCCGCCGCCGGGCGCCGACATCCCAGCGGCCGAGGTCGGGCTGCGGCTCTCAAGTCGCGCGGATCCCCGCAGCCCTTCCCGACCTGACGGACGCGGCCCCCGCCGCCCCCAAGCTGCTCCTCGCGGCCACCGGTGCCCACCGCTCAAGAGAGAAGAGCTGCAGCCCCGCGTCCGCCCGCAGCGCCGCCCCGGGGCCCGCCGCCGCCCGCCGGGCCTCCGCCCACCCGCCCGCTGACAGAATGGCGGTGCCGCCGCTCACCGGCTCCGGCTCTCAGCGTCCCACAGCCGGCCGAGCAGGAGCGAGCGGCGGCACCGACGAAGAGCAAGTGGGAACCGCGGCCGCTCCCCTCACACACCCTGCCAGAGCCGCGCTTGCCGCCCGCACTCTCATTGGCTGCCGGCGGCGAAGGGGGCGGGCCCAACGCAAAGGGGCATGAGAAGGGGGACGCGGGGCGCTCCCCGGGAGGGCGGGGCGGGGGCGGGAAGGGAAACGGGTGGCGATAGGCTGAGGTTGGGCGGCTTACGCGATGTGATTGGTTAGGAGCGCGTGGGCGGGGCGTGAGGGAGCCGCTATGGTGGCCTGCGGGCTCGGGGCTCAGGTGGGGTCGTGGAGTGGCGGCTGGGAACTTACGGGTACAGGTCTCTGAGGAGAAACAGCTTGAGTACGAAGTCAGCGCTTGAGGATGTTTGGTTACAGCACGATCGCAGCAGGAAGGCTACTCTGTCCCTTCCAGGATGAGGGCACGACCTGTCGAGCTACAGTCTGCCAGCACAGAGGCTCTGAAGCAGCACAAGCTGAGATCCATAGGCTTTCCCTGCGTAATCAGATCCACCCAGCCACGGCTGTGCTCCTGCCAGCTGCTATTTCCATGTGCCTGAGGGCTCCAAAGCATACAAACGTGATGAAACACAGATGCACTGATGCTACAGACTGAACCTCTCCTTTACCCTCAAGCTCATGCAACGCTAATAAAACACCACAGTGCTGGTTGGGATTTTCCCTTCCAGCATTCCATGCCCAATGATGCAGTTTGAAAATGATGGTATTATTCCAGGAGGAAACTTAAGGCCCAGAAGAAAACAAGGAAAAAAGGGAAAAAAGAAGAGGGATTTAAGTATTAGCAAGAGGGAAAGAAAGGGGAACAAAAAAAAAAAAATAAAGGAAAAGAAATCACTAAAAACACTTCCAAATTCAACAGCTTCCATGTCTGCATATATTTACCTATAACAAGTACAAATTGGAATTTGGTAACTTTCATCCCTTTGGTGTCCTTGTGTTCTACACATTTTTCACCATGCACAAAAACAACCTAGAATGTCATGAGTTGCTATTTGTGTTTGGTTTTTGCTGCCATTTTTACCTTCCAGATGCTTTTTACCTTTGAAATGTTAAAACCAACAAAACCACAAGTCTGCTTTCTCTCATTCTGCTTGGAGTTTCCTCATGTCTCAGTCCTCAGCCAACACTTTCATCTACACAGTAATGAGGTAGGAATCAGTCAGCTGGGAGCAGATGTTGCCATTGTTTGTCTCCTTCTCCAAAATCCTGAGCAAGCAGTCATGAATTAGGGAACACCCAGATGAAGCACTTACTTTATCATGGTGCTAAGCCCCATATATGAGAAGTATTGCATTACATGAAGCGGTATGATTGTGACTTAGCCAAACCAGACTTGGCTCTATTTATCTGGCAAATGTAAGCTTAGCATTACAGACAGCCCCGTGACTTGTTGCCAGTGGAACTGCCACTATCACCTGGGTCAGGCTCTACTCACCCATTAACCCAGATAAAGCAAGTTGGATACTTCCTGGGGTAGGGCTGTCCTATTCAGAACTTAGTCCATCTCTTACTGTGGCAACACACACTGCTGAAATGCTCCATCTCTTCTGCGCACTGTATTTTCTCTTCCTATAAGAACACAGAGTGATTGTGCTTCTCATGACTGCATCTGTGGTCCCCTGCATGCCTGCAGCATGGCCTCGACTTCTATTGTAACCTTTCACTGCTCAGGAAAGACAAGTTTGTTTGTTTGTTTTTCCCCTTACAACTGGCACATTTTTGATTTCTAAAAAAAACACGAGTACAGCACAGACAGCATGTGGTTGGTGCTGTAAGCCCCCTAGTAGTTAATTCTGATTCTTGTCATCCAAAGAAATGAAAATAATCAGCAACTGGTCACATTTATCTATATAATTTATATATTATATATTATATTATATATATATATTATATATAATATTATAGTATAGTATAGTATGTTATAATTATAATAATTTATATATTAAATTTATAATTAAATTATATTATAATATTATATATTATTATATATATTATTCTCATTGGAATTTTGGCACACAATATTATTGTGTGCAGTCTCAGTTGCTTAAAGCAGATATTTTCCCTATTTGGTTGCTAGTTTCATTTTAAACAAGACTAGGATTATTTTTTCCCCCCCCTCTTATCTCTTGTGATATCTAAACGTGAACACTTCATGGTTAGGACATAGTAACTCAGTGACCCATAGCAATTTACAACTGATTATCTGTGTGGCAAAACACATTGATAGTAAGCCAACTGAAAACAGCTCTGAAATACAGATTTCATAGACAGGTACGTGTATGCATGTTTGTATGCCAGGAGTCAAAGGTGAGAGCAAGGCAGGCAGTGCCCTCCCTACTAAGGGCGCCATCCCACAGCACCTAAGCAAGGCAAGCAGAACAGGTCCAGTGACATCAAACAGGGTCAGGCAGATCATTTGACACGTCGGCAGCAATGAGGAAGTCCAAGGTTGTTAATCTGGAAAACTGAGACAGGGTCAGGGTCCAGATCAACACAGAGCGTGGCCTGGCTGCAAGGCCAGGGCTTCAAGGACAAAAGCATCAGCTTAAAAGCTACTTAAGAGCAGGGAGCCTCACTAAGGCCCCTTAGCAGATCCTCTCCGCAGACAAGTTACACACATACACATGTACACCTTCACAGAATAGCTACATTCACCTGTGAGATGGATGCGGGAAAAGTGGAGGTGTTTACAAAATGCAGAAGTATAGAATGCAGTATATGCAGTATAGAATTTTATGCCAAGAATTAGATGTGATGCTACTGTAAAGCTGCATACTGCTCATTTACTGACTAGTGAAAATCACTGAGTGATTTCACACACCGCTGGTAATGCCAGCGTCTTACCACATCCTCCTTTCCTTACATGTTTCAGACCACTCCTGACTCCCAAGCCCTTACTGCTATGAGTCAAGCATCTCACTGCTGTTAATACTAACACCAAATTCTGCCAGCACAGTGATGTCTCAGGAAACAGAGACTTTGATCTGGCTTGATCTTCCTTCATTCTTAAGTACTTTCTCATATAGTATATGAGGATATAATATTGCTCCAAATGATATTTAAACAGAACAGGGTGAGTTGTCATGTCTTGCTCTGCCACTAATTTTGCTTGACTGCATTGTCAACAGGGATGTCAGCTGATCCTCTGGCATTTGGACATACAAGAAGGCAAACATGCCTCTGTCATTTCAACACTATAAAGATGTTTTAGGAGAACAAATGTGCTCTTCTTTTCATACCATTATTAGAACTGATAAATAACTTCTAGAGTATTAATTTTTCTGGAGTAAAGCAGGCATTTCAGCCTCATGGTTCACCGATTAAGGGATTGCTCAGAACATGTCACAGGTTTTGCTTAGAATTCATAAATCAAACACATGCACCGTTCCACTGCTCTAACTCCATGGATTAGGCTGTCAACGTAGCTAGGCTTTTGAGCATCCTCGGAAAGTTAACACTGGCAGATGTGGCTCAACTAGGAAGAAATACACTTCTGCTTTAGAAATTAACTAATAGTAACGTTTCAGGTGATGGAAACTCAACTGATTTCCTCAGATTTGATCCAAGAAGTCTCCATGACCAGAGTTGTGCTCTCAGTGTCTGGACATACTATTTTGTACGCCTGAGGTATTCTTACCTATTGTAACATTGCTTCCATAGAGATGAGCTAGGCTAAGGGAACAGAAACACTTAATCAGTGCCTACTGAGAAGTGGATAAATGCAAATCTAATGTAGTGCTGAGCAAGCTGTCCATAAATTTAGCAGGTAGCTAAGTTTCTCAGAAAGGGTAAAATTTTAATCAAGTAACCATGATAGACCCTACTGAGAATTTCTGAGAGTACCTGAGCATATTTGGCAGAGTCCAAAAGCAAACAAACGGTATCTGCATGCTTCAAACATCACCTTCCAAGCAGCGCATTGTCTCTCTAATATATTTTTAATACATATTGAACAGTAAAAGTGAAATGAACAGCACTGCCATAGCATACAGTGAGACAGGCCTTTTGGAAGAGCTCACAGTCATTCCTCTGCTCAGAAAAAAATAACTACAGCCCATTTGGAAGGAACAGCCACAGCTAGTGACAGATCTTCAGATTTCTAAACATATGAAAAACAGAACATTTTAAATTCTATCTCTTTCTTCCTGATGTTTCAACTCTATTCCCTTACTTAGAGTATTCATGACTCCCTGCTTTGTCCTTCACATTCACATTGGTTGAGGAATACAGATATCCCAATACCATCCCAGATGTGAGCAGATGGATGGCATGCCAGGTATAAAGGCCATTACTGACAAGCTTACGATATACGCCTAA